GACCGCTGACCGACCGCGCGGCCTTCCCTCCCGCAGGCCGTGTTCTCCTCCGTCTTCTACTTCGCGTCCGTGCCGCTGTACCAGGGCTTCCTCATGGTGGGGTAAGTCGGCCGTCGGGCCCGCCGGTGCTTGGCGACTCCTCACGTCTGCGTTCAGGGCGGCGGGGCTGCCACCGGGAGCCGGGGCTCCGCTCGGTGAGCCGGGAGACACCCGTCCACTTGTGCCTCTGGTGATCGTGTCATCACGTGTCTCGTTAGAATTTGTTTTCCCGGCGAAGCCATGGTTTCCGTGGGGAGGCGTGTTGGGAAGTGTTCCCGCGGCATCCGAGGCGGGGCGGTGATTTAAGCAGTGATTACTCCTTAAATAATAGTAGCCCGAGTCGGCAAAGCTGCCCGACCCGATCCTCCTGCAGAGGAGCCCGCGTCAGCGCGAGCACCAGTTCTTTTTAAAGCTTCTTTCACGTTGGCTTGTATTTAAAGTTTCTCTGCATATCATCACTTCAGCGAGGCATCTAGAATTCTCTTAAGCATCGGTGCCCTGGATGTGGTAGGAATGAGGCGGGTGCTCGTAAGTTAAGCTTCTTCAAAAATGGTAAACTCAGTTTTGCCATCCCCCGCAAACAAGCGCAAAGTCTTGGGCAGGAAACAACGTGCTATTTTCATCCAGCAAAACGTGAGCCAACCTGGGGGTGCTGTGCCCTCCCCCCACAAGGTGTCCGTGGCGAAGCACCCTTGGAGACACTGTCACAGCACCGCGTACTCTCATGGCACTTTTTTGCAAGTTGAAGGACCTTCGCGTCGCCCCGGAGAAGGACCCGGTCACCATGGCTGAGCCAGCCCGCCTCAGCCCTCAGGCCTCATGCAGCATCCTGGCCAGGGTGTGGCCGCGGCAGCCTGTGTCCTCCCCAGAAGTCCCTGCCATCACAGGGAGGCCTTGCAGAGCTGGGCACGAACGTGTGGGCTGGAACTGTTGAGCCACCCAAGTCGAGGACCCAGGAGGGGGCAGCCGGGTTATGGCCCAGCTCGGGCGGCCAGAGAGCAGGTCCGACACGGGAGAGAACTGTTTTCCGACCGGACAGCAGGCAGTAGAGGCCAGCGCCCAAGGGGAAACAGCCCCCAAACTCCCAGAATTACTGGCTGAAAACCCTCGAAACTTCAGAGAGGCAAAGATTTCCCTAGCACAAAATGCCTGCACCAACAAAGACAAAGTGGACTCCATAAAAATTAAAACTCTTCTTCTCTCTGAAGACGAGAGAAGTCAAGTAAAAAGGCAGACTAGGAGGAGCTGTATTCTGAACACACGTAGGACAAAAGGTTTGTATCAGGAACGTTTAACGGCCTCCGAACAGCTCGGTTGGTTTTACGATGGTAAAGATCTGAACACGTGTCATGAAAGAAGGGAGAGCTAGTGTTGCCCACAGTGACACAGCCCTGCAGGGACCAGGTCAGGAAGACGGGCTGCGCCGCGTGTCGGCCGGACGGGGCGCACCTGGCGTCTCCCACGTTCCATTGGGGCTGCAGACAGCGACACCACCGCAGAGGACGGTCTGACCGTCTCATAAGACCCAGCCCGCCATGCACGGGGCCCAGCAGCCTCCATGTCCGCCCGTCCCCACGGAGGACCAGCCCGCGGAGCTTTCTGGCTTCCCCCACGAAGAGCAGACGGGCCCTCCCAGATGTCCACGTGCCTTCGGGCAGGAGAATGGGGCGACCACCACCGCACGGCGGCATAGGACAGAGCTGCGGACACAGGCTGCGGGTGGGTCCCCAGGGCCCTGTGCCCTGCAAAGCAGCCAGGCCCAGGAGCTCGCGTGTGGCCCGTGTGCCTGAGGGCAGCAGATCCACCCTGGACGACCTAGCAACTATCCGGCCGGCGGGGCTGGTGGGCGGGGGCCTCCAGGTGGCCGGGTGACAGCTGTAGGTGCTGTCAGGACTCACCAGGCTGCACTGTGGAAACCAGGCCTCAGCGGAGCCAACTCAGCAAGAGGGCGTTGGATGGTTTCTTAAAAAGGCCAGGAAGCTAAAGACGTTTCTGGCAGAGGAAGAACAAAGGTTCTCACGGATGCGCTTCACAAGCAGAGACTCCAGACGAGAGTTCCTGTGACCTAGCGCGTCACGCATTGCGTGGTGGCTGATGGCGCCGTGCGTGGGGCCTGGTGGACCCGGGGAGCAGCAGAGCCCAGGGACGAGCTGCGCCAGAACTGTGTGGCCCTCTCGGCCCCTGAGCTCCCCAGGGCGGCGTTGTCCCAAGGGGACTGACAGCAGCTGAGGGTCTGGAGGGTCGCAAAGCTGCGTGTGTCCAGCCTCGTGGAGAAGTGAGCTTGGGTTCTGGACGCAGCTCGCGGAGGCCAGCCCCATGGGACAGACCGGCCTCTCCTCCAGCAGGGCACGCCCACCACCACCCACAGAGCCACCCGCACCGGTGGCCAAGGACCCCCGCGCTGGGGCAGGGTTCGGCCCGCGGTGTTCCCGTCACACCTGTCGGGGAGAGTCATGTCGTCAGGCCCTTCGCTGCTGCTCTGCCGCTGGATGAGTCCCCAGCCTGGAAGTCCTCACCCAGGGAGGTCACTTTCTAAACGTCCAGGTGGGATCTCGCGGCCCCCGGCATGGCACACGGCTGAGCTCCCGGCTCCTCTGCCTGCGTGTCCCACGCTGGGGGCCAACGAGGTCGCAGTCAGAAATGACAATGGCACAGAGGGGGGCCCCCTAGCAGGACAGAGACTTTCAGACACGCTGTCCTGGTTTGCTGCCCCACCTCCCTGGGAAGCGGGAGCCCACACGTCCCCCCACGAAGCTGCGGGCTCCCAGCTCCTCCCGTGGCATCCGTGAGGCTGCGTGCGGGCCAGTGCCCCCCGCCCAGTGAGGGGCAGCGCCCGCCTCCCTACCAGAGCAGGTCGGATCCAGGGTCCCGCACGGGACCCAGGTGTTTGGTGTCAGTGGAAGATCCCCTGCCACACCACAGACCTGGGAGACTTCAGAGCAAGTGAAGAAGAGACAGACGCCCACCCCGAGATGCCAGGGGCATCGAGTCATCTGAGAGCTGCAGAGTGGCCGCGGGAAATGCTCCGATGGGTGGTTGCGAGCACACTCAGGCGAAAAGCGAAACATCTGAGCAGAGAACTGGAAAACAGGAAGCAGAGCCAAGTGGAAGGTTTGCGAACGAAAAACGTAATAATCTGAACAGAGTGTCCTGGACGGGCTCCACGCAGGCCGGGGGTGAGGGAGGCTGCCGCGGACAGGAAGGCAGGCCGCAAACATCCGCGGGGGTGGAGGGCCAAGAACCAGCGCCTCGGGGCCATGCCGGGCAGTGACGCGGGCCTCACACCCTTGTCCTCGGAGTCCGGGAGGAGCAGAGACAGCAGGGCCGGAAACGGACTTGCAGAAGTAATGGCTGAACACACTTCACAAAAGACATAAACGTGCAGATTCAAGACCGTAAGCAAACCCCAGCCAGGACGGATTCAAAGAAATACCAAGAAACACCAAGGCCCATCGTAGCCAAACTTGGGAAAACGAAAGGTGAACCCCTCACGAACAGCGACAGAGAAGATGCTTTGCTCCTAGGGAAGGACAGCCCCAGTGACAGCAGAGGTGTCCTCAGAAAACGGGCCAGAGGGACCGGCACGCCCGGCTGCAGGTGGGGACCGTCCCGGGAGGGAAGGGAGTGCGGCAGAGCTCGCCAAGTCCCCGGAGGATGAGGCCCACGCGGCCGCACGCGGGGCGAGGTGATGGCCGAAGGGGCAGTGACGGAGTTGATCGCGGCGAGACTCTGGGGAAGCGGGCCTGTCACGCACGGTGTGGGGCACGAAGCCGCCCCTGCCATGTAACCAGCAGTCTCGGCCCTGGGCTTACGCCCCCCGTTGGTGCTCCTGCCCGAAATAAATGAAAAACTATTTTTACAAAAAACAAACAAAGCCGTGCAGTGAACGGTCATGGCTGTTCACGTCATAGCTGGACCGGGAGTGACCGGGGTGATTCGGCGAAGGGCGGGGCCACAGACACCGGCCATTGCAGCTGAGCAGTCAGCGGGGGGGGTGGTACAGGCCGGGCAAAACCGCCACGGCGAGACTCTGGGGAAGCGGGCCTGTCACGCACGGCTGGCGGCGCGTCGTGGCCGGTGTGGGGCGCGAAGCCGCCCCTGCCATGTGACCAGCAGTCTCGGCCCTGGGCTTACGCCCCCCGTTGGTGCTCCTGCCCGAAATAAATGAAAAACTATTTTTACAAAAAACAAACAAAGCCGTGCAGTGAACGGTCATGGCTGTTCACGTCATAGCTGGACCGGGAGTGACCGGGGTGATTCGGCGAAGGGCGGGGCCACAGACACCGGCCATTGCAGCTGAGCAGTCAGCGGGGTGGGTGGTACAGGCCGGGCAAAACCGCCACCCCACGGCTGCCCACCGTGTGACCCAGAGAGATGCCTGGGAGGTGACGGCGATTGCAAATTGGAGGACAGGAGTGGGGGGCGGGGGCTGGGAAGGCAGTGGGCACAGGAGGGGCTGGGGGGTCCCACCCTGGCAGGGGCTCCGGGCGAGGGGGCAGGTTCTGCCTGTTTCGCCGCGTCTGTGGCGGTCTCTGGCGTGTGACCAGCTGGCGCGTCCGCCTGTGCGCACACCGGGGCTGAGTGCTGCGTGCCGGAAGCACCGTGCTCGGCAACCGCGCGTGTCTGTCGGGCTGAGTGTGCGCTGCGTTCTGAGCCCTCCGCGTGCTGACCCGGCCGCCTCCCACTTACCCACAGGTACGCGACGGTCTACACCATGTTCCCCGTGTTCTCACTGGTGCTGGACCAGGACGTGAAGCCCGAGGTGGCCATGCTGTACCCGGAGCTGTACAAGGACCTCACCAAGGTGTGGCGCCGGCCGCGTCTGGCAAACCCACGACGGGCGTTCGTGGGGGGTGTGGTGGGGGGGCGGCCTCTGAGCAGGTTTAAATCCTGGCTCTGCCCTCACAGACGTTTTCATCCTCCTGGGGGTTTTCTGACACTGTCCTTGAGTGACATTAAGGCGTAAATCCCCTGGAAAGCAAACACAGGATGCCCGTGTTACTCTTACAGTCAGGGTGAAACCAGAGCTAGTTTAATACAGCAGAGGGTGAAACGGGATGGAGCACGACGACCGCCGTGAAGAGGCCGCTGTGGCTGTTGCGAGTAGAGAAAACTTTTGGGTTTAACACCCCAAAACGGTGAAATCGTTACCATTCAATAAAGTAGAATAGGATCGACGGTCCAAGCGCTACAGGAAGATACTGCGAATAACTGTAATTTTAGTAAATTGTGTTTTCTTAATTCCAAGACTCCAGAAAAGCTTACGTAAATGTCGCCTCACAGAGTAAGAGACGTGAGCTTTCACGTGAGAATTCTAAGCCAGCTGAGCTGAAAACCTAGGCAGGTGTGTCTACGCTGAGGTAAGGTCACTGCCGGTCCCCAGGTGACGCTGCCAGGTGTCCAGGGCGGGGAATTCTTGCCAGTGGGACCATCTGTGCCAGTTACTGGAGTGAGGCAGCGGACACACTCACTGTTTTCGGGGGTCATGGCTGCCCAGCAGCATCTCTCACTGGGGGCCAGAGCCCCCAGTAGCAAGAAGGTTCAGGGTCACCAGCGCCCACGCTGAGCAGCCAGCTGTTGCATCTCCAGGTGGAGGCTGTGCCACCAGCCGACACATTTGAGTGGGGGGTCGGCAGCCACGCTCAGCTCTGTCCATCCGTTAGGACAGCCCACAGTTCAGGCGTTTGAACAGCCTATAGTCAGGGCACTCCATTTTTTTGACAAGCGCTCACTCGCTTATTTTCCCAGGCTCCTTTTCTTTCAGATCTTAAGTCTGTACTTTTGTCTTTATGGTATATATTTCTTTAAGAATCGGACACACTTCAAATTCTTTGAGAACAGAGTGGCACTAAGTGCTCAACCACTCAACTTGGCAGCAGTGGAGCTTTTTCCGCTCGGTGCTTGAGACGTGTTGAAGCTCCGTGTCGCTTCCAGACACTTGGTCTAGTCGGCCTGAACACGGCATGTGGCACCCCTCCCCGGGAACTGGACAGCCATGCGGGCGGCGTCCAGCCGTGATGGCAGCCCCTGGCCTCGGCAGCCTGCGCTGAGTCGGGAAGAGGAGCACGCACTCAGAACATTAATGGCGGTGGACAGCAGTGTGAGACAGGCAGTTGGGACCACAAGCGCTTCCCGTGACTGATGCGCCTGTAAGCTCTGAGCAGAAGCCAAGGGTCACAGCGCCGTTGCGAAGTCCCTCCAGAGGTCACCGGGGGCGCAGGACATACATCCCCGGCCAACAGGAAGGTCCTGTGCTTTGGACGCGTCCCGCGTCTGTGCCTTTTGTAAGCAGTGTCTACCTGTGTGGGACCGGTCCAGGCATCACAGTCTGCCTGACTGTCCCACGAGGCGGCCAGTATTTGGCAAGTGACTGCACCGGTTAAGCCAAGGGGTGTCCCCTTCCTCTCTCCGGAGCTGTAGTCCTCACCCCTCACAGGAAATGGTGTGTCTGTGATAACAATGTTTTGGTGTTCCTCTTTTAAAGGTCACATTCTGCTTTGAATTATTCAACTTTACTCATACGCAGTCACTTGATTTTCTGGGTGCTGCCAGTGAGACAGGAAACATGTGCCCTCACCCCTCTCCTAGCCCTGCAGGTGACTGTGCCCCGAGTGGCCCGTGGCCTCCCGTGAAAAGCTTCCTGAGCCTCAGCCCAGGCCCAGGATGAGTGAGACGTTTGGGCAGCCGTGGCGCGCTGGCCCCGCAGAGTCAGCCAACGGCCGGGCCAGCCACGTGGCGCCGCCACGTCCCGGGCTGGGAGCGGGGAGCAGGATGTCCGGTCCGTAGTCCCACACCGTGGTGACAGCTGACAACAGAGCGGGTTGTAGTTGTGTCAGTGGTCAAGGCATCGAGTATAACACACGCCCAGCGCACAGTTAGGGCCGCTTCACTGTGTTTTATTTCCCGGTGAAGGTTCTCAAAGCGAGTGGTCTTGGCGTTTAACACGTGTGTTTGTGTCGTTATGTAATAGTAACAAGGCAAGAAAATGGAATTAAAGATGGAGAAATGAAGAAGCGAGAAATAAAACGTCTCTGCCGATGCCACAGTTGTCTGCGCAGAAAGCCCCCAGGTTTAGTCAGGGTGCAGGCCCGAGGGAAAGCGTCTTTAGTCTCTTCAGTCTGTGTGCCAGCAGCGAACGGTCGACGTCTGGAAAACGTTTGAAAACTTCCTGATGTCATAAAAAAGTGAAATACTTTGGCATCGCCCTAACAAGACGTGCAGGACACATATGCTGATAAAGAACACTGATGAAGAAATTTCCAGAAGGTGTGAACAAATGTGGTTGGAAGACTCAGTATTGATGGTCTCAATCAGCGGATTCCAGAATCCATATGGGAAGTCACGGGGGTGGAATCCCAAACCCATTTTGAAAAAGAAGCGTGAAGTCGGAAGGCTTCCCGCGAGACAGTGGTCGAGGCAGCGTGAGGGGCGGCGGGAGTGACACAGAGGCCAGCGGGCTGGGCTCGAAGGCCGAGGACGAGGCCAGGCACATCAGCTGGTCTCCGCAGACGGCAGGAAGTCCAGTGCAGGGAGGGTCGCCTCGCTGGCAGACAGCGCTGCCACAGCGGGTCACGCACAGGCAAAGATGGACGCCCAGCCACACCACACGCCTGCCACAGAAACCCCCGCGCGGGGTCGCGACCTCGCACAGCCACAGGCCGTCCAGAAGGAAGCGTGCGCGGCCCTGGGCTACACAGAGTTTAGATACTGGGTCAGAAGCATGATTCATAGAGGGAAAAAATGATAAACAGGACTTGGTCATAATTAGAAACTTATGTCCTGTGACTGGCACTGTCGAGGCAGTGTGAAGACAAACCTCAGGCTGGTAGAAAATGTGTGGAAGTCACACTTCTGATGAAGGACTTGTACCCAGAAAAGACAGAGAACCCTCAAAACTCGAAAACACCCCAGGTTTCTAAATGGACGGAAGACCTGGACAGATGCCACGCTGGTGACGATGGCTGTCCAGCGAGCACGTGAGAATGCTCACGTCACCGTCATTGGGGAACCGAAGACGAAAGCCTTGCACCGCCACGACCACAGTTGAGAGTGGCAGACATCTGAGACGCCAGCGTCACCAGACAGTGACGGCGGGGACAGCAGGGGCCCCCAGAGTGGCGCACAGCCCTCGGGGGCAGTTTGGTGGTTTTGCGAAGTCAGACGTGCCCTTTGCTTCTGACTCAGCAGTCCTGGCCCCAGGCGTCTGCCCACGAGAAGACCTGTGTTCACACAGAATGTGTACACAGGTCTGTGACACCGTTGTCATCGTTGCCCAAACTAGGACCAACCAGTGGCCACGCAGCCACATGGAGGGACACTCCAGCATGAGGAAAACCGGCAGCTCAGCACAGACGAGTCTCAGCCGCACATCGCCACGCAGAAGCCAGACTCAGACGCGTCCGTGACCCCCATTCACCTGACAGTCTGAGATGGAGAGCAGCTCAGCGGTTGCCCAGGGCCTGCAGCGGGAGTGGGGGCTGAGGAGGGGCAGCTGGAGGCGGCTGTGGGGAGAGGAACTGCGGGTCTGGCACCACAGTGGCCACGTGACTACGTGTCAGACCAGTGTGCCCAGCATGGATGGAACACAGACTGTGACAGATCTGACCGCACGAAAGATGAGTCACAGCCACTCTGGGCTGGGAGAGGGCCGGGGAGGGCAGGAGCCATCCTAAGCCACTTTGGGAAGAAGCATCTGACCCCGAGTCTGTGGTGAGGCTGGAGACGGAAGGAGCCCATAGCCGCCCTGGACGGCAGCTGGTGAACTCGGAAGAACCGTAGTGGGCGAGGGCCGAACCAGGTGACGCGTGGCTGCCCGGCGCCAGGGTCTCCCTGTGGGAGGTGGAGGTTTGGCCTGGAGGTGCGGGCACGGCCGTGCAGGGTGGGGACAGCGGCAGAAGGAAGTGCAGCCGGCCCGTCGCCTGGGAGCTGCCCACGTGCCAGAAGCGGGGACGTGCTCACGCCAGCCCACATCGAGGGCCACACGTCCAGACGGCACAGGCGTCACCCCGAACGCACTCCCAAGGACCTGACTGGACCAGAGCGAGCAGCAGCAGTGCTGGACCGCACCCCAAGACCGAGGCCAGCACTCCTCACCCACGCAGTGCTTTGTGGAAGCGCCCCGTGCGCATCCTCCCTACGGGCGTGTGGCCCCAGGACAGCGGCTGGGCCTCCAGGCAGAGGTCTCGTTTGTCTCAGAGCCGAAGCGTGGAACCGTCCACGGTCATCACGCCCAGGGCAAGTGGTTCGTGCCTGTGTTTTCAGTTTTTCTCCAGCTACCCGTTTTATTGATAGTTTGTGCCCAAAACCTTCGACCTGGAGCACGCGTGACATGCTGTCGTCAGCACACAGTGCTTGACAATTGGCAGCTCCTCACACGGAAATGGCACCGACGCTCCGGTTTGTCTTCACTTTATAATGGGATAGTCGTGTCACAGGCGTGATATCAGGTAGATGTCAGCAAACGTGGCGACGAAGTCAGTCTCTTTTACATCAGAAAATTAAAGTTAAATTTTCTGTTAAAATATTTAAATAACATTAGCCACGTACTTAATTACAAATGAGTTTTATGACTAACGACCCAACCAGCACCCACTCGTGTACCCAGTGAGGCATGCACATGCGACACAGGTACTAAACAGACCTGTGTAAAATACAAAAACGTTTACATTCTCTGCCTTTTAAAAACCAACATCGCCCTTTAACAGACTGTGATACGTGTGACTCTCACTGTCGCACTTACGTGCAGTGAGGCTCAGGCTCAGGCTCAGGCTCAGGCAATATTTCCACAGACTGACACCAGCTGGTCAAGGCGCCGAGGCGGCCGTGCTTGTCCTGGACAGGTGTCAGTGGGCTCTAGGCAGGCGGGACCCACACCTAGACTCTTCCCGGGGTGTCGTGTGACGCGTCCCTCGCGTCATGTTCCCTGTGGCGTCCACTCCGAGCCCCCCGTCTGCAGTCACTCTGAGAAGCCCCGTGGGAGCTGCGCCTCAGGCAGAGCTTCCAGCTCTGGTCACCCCCCCACCCCGCCAGCAGCCGTAGCCGGCGGGCAAACTTGAGGAAATCGCCAGACTTCTCGTGCTGCTTCGTCTGTGAGTGGAGATACGTCTGCTCTTTGTCACCAAGGTGCCACACTGTGAGAAACAGATGCCAACGTGGGGACAAGCAAACATTCTGCACGACAAGACGCTCGGCCGGTCTCACCGGGGCTTGGTCCTGACGCCCTGCGTTCGCTCGACCTCGTCTGACGCACATCGCCTGTACCCACCACCCCTTGCCACTGACAGTCAGCGTGGCCTCCTGAGGACTAGTCCTCCTCAGTGTGGATGTCCAGGAGCGTGGTCAGCGCCGGCCCCCGGCATCCCTGATAACCCGGCTAGGTTTAAGAGTGAAGGTCACCGCACGGAAAACTGTCTGTCTGTGTTGGACTGGTTCACGTGACGTCCTCGGGAGAGGGCCGAGGGGTGATAAACTCTGGCCTTGCCGCAGTGGACCGCCCTGTTTCATCTGAAGAAACAAGAGAGTAAACACAGGAATATTTATTCCCCAGAAATAAAGAAGGAAAGGGAAGTTATTTTTACCACAAAGAAAGTCTTCATCCCCTAGTGCAATCAAGTGTTTGTTGACGGACTCCGGGGTCCCTACGAAGCCAAGGGACATATTGTGGCATAAAGGTCAGCAAAGGTCAAACCAGAAGAGAGCCGCACACCTGTTCTCTGTGAGTGTGCCCGTGGGGCACACAGGCAGGACAGCGGTTGTGTCAGTGGCTGGGCTCGGGGACCTGGGGTCTTTGGGAGTCGCTGGCCGAGGTGCTTGAAACACGGCTGCTAACGAAGCTCTCCGCTGTCCCCAGGGCAGATCCTTGTCCTTCAAGACCTTCCTCGTCTGGGTTTTGATCAGCGTGTACCAAGGTAAGCGGCCCAGTACTCCTGCGCGCGGGGTCTCCCGTGCAGCCCGCGGTGCTGGCTCACCTCCCCGCCCGTTCCTGAGCGCTCGCTGTCACATCGGCAGTGAGCGACCACTCCTGTTTGTCTCGTAAACGGGTGTCCCAGCAGCGGGTCTTCAGACCTCTTCGCAAGCCAGGTGGGTTGGTATTTTTTTAAACTGATGAATGTCACCTAAAAACTGACCCATTTTAAATTAAATGTTAATCCAGAAAAACCTTAACAAGCATGTACCGTGTCATGTGCCCACTCGATGGCTTTCTTTCCCGGAGTGATGGCAAGGCTCTGAGAATCTGAGCTATGTGGTCAGAGGTCATTGCAGACAAACGAGAGATTGTCCAAAGTGTAGCTGACAAACGGCCCGGTGCATCACGCGTGACATGACAGATGGACACGGAGGCCCGGCCTCTGCTCCCAGTAGTAACAAGTGTGTGAGCCTCTGCGTGGTGTTTCTGCCCGACCTAGCGCCACATCTAATTTTGTTCTTAATCCAGCGTCTAAGTCATTCACCTTGGCGTGGGTGTGTACGTGACCCTGTCCGTGACGGGACAGCATCCGTCAGCTACTTCCGTGACCCCTTCCTCCTCGCTGGCTTCCATAGTGTTTAATTTCCAGTCCAAACAGAAAAAGTTGTCATGTAAAACGCCACGCTGTCCTCACCCTCGCTGTCTTGCAGGCGGCATCCTCATGTACGGGGCCCTGGTGCTTTTCGAGTCCGAATTTGTCCACGTGGTGGCCATCTCCTTCACGGCCCTGATCCTCACCGAGCTGCTGATGGTGGCTCTGACCATCAGGACGTGGCACTGGCTCATGGTCCTGGCCGAGTTCCTCAGCCTGGGCTGCTACGTGGCCTCGCTCGCTTTTCTCAATGAGTATTTTGGTAAGTGGCTTTGGATAATTGTCTGTTATTGATTTTTAAACGTTTTTTGTTATTACTTCTTTATACATTGTCTTAAATTGCAGATCACAGCAAAACCCACATCAGAAGCTTCAAACACAAGCCGATTTGGGGATAAAGATTAAACTCCTTGTAATAATTTATAAAATTAAGATTCTCGCTCTCTTGGCTTTTAAAAACACCGAGTCTGTGCTGGTGGGGACCCCTCCCCACAGGGCACGCGGTTCGTCCTCTGTAGTCACGGCGGCTGAAGCTCTGAGGAGAAGCACTTCCTGGGGTGGCACACGTCTGTCCGTCCCCTCGTGAGAGGCCACCTGCCACCATGCCGATGGCCTCAGCCCCTTTAGCCACCCAGCCGCCAGCACCTGAAGTGAATCAGACTCACGGGCACCGTGGCGTGGGGTCACCAGTGCTCTGTGCTCTGGACACACGCAGCCCGCCCCGCCCCATTCCACCCCTCCTGGCTCCGCCACCAGCCGGGTGGCCTTGGGGAAGCAGTTTCCTGCCTGCGGTGCTGGAGGGAAGCTGACAGTGACCGTGACCCTCGATGAGGGGCAGCAGCTGTCCTGAGATCCTCTGGTCACCGTGCTCGGCAGACTGAGGGGACAGCAGGTCAGGGTCTCCTTCACCTCTGTGCTCCCAGGTGACCTGCTTACGCTTCTTCCGCACACTCCAGACTCCCCGGAAGGACCCGCGTCACAGGCACGAGCTGCAGGAGGAAGCCGGTGGGCGCTGGCACGTCCCCCGCCAGGCCCCCTGCCTCCCCGACAGCAGCCGCGGCTCAGATCCGCCCCGCCCACTCTCAAGCCCGAGGGTCACTGCGCCCCAAGTCCAGGCTTGTCCGCCAGAGCCTGGGGGTCACTGCGCCCCCCAAGTCCAGGCCTGTCTGCCAGAGCCCAGGAATGTGAGGCCATCCCAGTTACTCCCTGTCACCCCACACAGATGGCTGGTGCTGAGGGCTGCGGGGTCTCTTTTTCAAGATTTTTAAAGTTGGGGCAGAGAAAAGGGAAGGAGAGTGGTCGGAGGAGATGGAGGGGATTGATGTCTGTCCTCAGCGTCCTGAGCGCAGGACACATGGGACATGGCACAGCGGCTGCCTGAAGATGGTCCAAGACGGAATTTTCCAGAAGGTTTTCAGAAAAGGCAGGACTGCCTCATTTCCCCGGTGGACCATCAGCAGCCACGACGGCCGTGACCACGTCTGGGCCACCACGTGAGGCCAGTGGTTCTGTGTGGAGACAGCGACTTCCCGGTGACTGATCTGCCGATGGTCCTGCGTCCACCGTGGCCTCAGAGTCAGACTGAGCCGGTGCCCACACCAAGTGCCCCACGACTTAAACGCGACTTAAACCTCCGTCAGTGAGTCACGGACCCCTTTAGAGGGCACCGGGGTGGACGCTGGGCATGGACCCCCCAAAGCTCATGGAGCACGCGGGCACCATCCCCACGCCAGCCACGCGGGAGGCTGCGAGCTGGGCGAGGCACGGCTCCAGAGCAGGGTGCCCGCGTCACCACCCCGCTGTCCAGAACGCCCGGGGACGGCCCCCGGCGAGCAGCTCCCTGGGTCAGCGGACACTGAGGAGCAGCAGCGAGGAGAAGACACGATGAACCGGAAGAGAGAGCGCTTTGGGGGCCAGAGGGGCGCGCTCCGCCCCTCTGCAGGGGCTGATGGCCTGACGGCCGGAGGTGGTGGGGGACCGGGCGGTACGGGCGCGCCGGGAGCCCCGCCAGCGCGTGGATGGGAGGCGGCAGCAGCAGGCTCGCCAGAGCACCGGCCCTGCGACCAGTGGGAACTACGGAAAATGAACCGGAAGAGACAGCGCTTTGGGGGGCCAGAGGGGCGCGCTCCGCCCCTCTGCAGAGGCTGACGGCCTGACGGCCGGAGGTGGGGGGGACCAGGCGGTACGGGCGCGCCGGGAGCCCCCCCAGCGGGTGGATGGGAGGCGGCAGCAGCAGGCTCGCCGGAGCACCGGCCCTGCGACCAGTGGGAACTACGGAGGGACAGCAGCGGGCATGGCGGGACCGGCACGGAGAGGCCCCGCACACGGCCGGCGGCGCGTGCGTGAGGATCCGCGCGAGGACGCGGTGTCGCTGAAATGTCCAGGTGCCTTGGGGATAAAGACCCCGAGAGCTTCCAGGGGGGCAAAACCTGCCCCACGCAGGGTGGGCGAGCACGGCTCCGACGTGCACGAAGACTCCTGGAGGCCACCAGCCGGCGCCTCGTGCCAGAGCTTGGGTGTCTAGCCTGCAGACGGGCACAAGAGACGTGACAGGCGACGTCACAGGCGGGCCCGAGAAGGCACGGGCTGGGCGGGGGAGAGGCGCGGGCAGACGCGGGGCGGCAGGCCGGGGCGGCGGCAGCCGCAGAGAAAGGGCTTCTGTCTGGCCCCTCGTCCTGCCCCGCCCTGGGCGAGGTGCAGTGACGCCAGGGCCTGGGCTCGGAAGGAAGGCTGGGTGCACCTCCCAGAGGCGCCCCAGGCTCAGGGTGGTGGAGGCCCCTCCTCAGCTGCTTCACTCCTGGAGCCCCTCGTAGGCCTGTTAGCGCCTGCGGGACAGTGACACTTCCTGGACAAACAGGACAGTCGGGCACTGGCTCTGGGACACGCGTTGGTCGTGCCGTGTGGCGGGACAGCTCCTAGACGTCTGGGTCTGCACACCGAGGCGGTGGTGTGCCCGCCGGTGCCTGGGCCGTGAAGCTCTGACGAAGAGCCCGCACCACTGGTTCGTGCCACACCCTGGACGTGTCAGCTCTTGTCTCAAGGACATCAGGGAGACGCCTGGACGCTGCCTTTAGGAAGCAGGTGCCGCCTGTAGCAGGCCCTTTCATGGCGAAGGTGGGACGGTTCAGGCCGCTCGGACCTCAATGAGGAGGAACCACGTAGGTGACGCACACGGACGGCTGGCCTCGGAGACGCAGGCAACCTCAGCGCTGTCACGGGACCAGTTGGCAGGGCCAGGAAGTTCAGCCAGGCCAAGAGCGCTGCCCCCTCAAAGTGTTCTGCGTCTGTCCTGCGACCGAGCATTGTGACCAGGGACCGGGGGATAAGGAGCCCCCCTGTTTCTGCTGAGCGGAGTGGAGCCGTGTGCCACGGAGCTGTTTCTGGTGACAGCTGACAGTCACATGCAGCCACTCTACTGCGAAAGCGTGTCTGTCCTCCACCCCAGAGCCGTGAATTACAAAATGGACATGGGAACGTATGAAGCTGGTTCCCTTTTCGTCACTTTAACAAATGGCAGAGAAGTAAAAGGGATTCCATTGTGAACCCCGAGGCTGGGGGACTCAATCCAAGTGTTTTCTCAATGGCCACGCAGATGGGGAAAATATGAAAAGTTAACGTTTCTGTGTTAAACATTCGCCAAAAATAATAGCTGTAGCACCTACGAAAGAACTATTTTCTAGTCAGAACGCCTGTTACTTTATTACTTTCGTTTTAAGCGTGAGCGCAGTGTGCGCCTGCGTGAACACAAGTTAACGCGCTCGGCATGGGACACGCGGGTCCGTGGTCTTGGTCCTCGACTGCTCCCGGGAGCGGCGCACGCTGAACACGAAGCGAAATACGGACGCGGGGCGACCACGTGCGGGTGGCGCATCTGGTCCGTCGCTGAGCTCGGCAGACGCGAGGCGGACTGGACCGAGTTAGGAAGGGACGCGATGAACCCAGACCGTGTGGGCCCCGCTTGATCCTGTTTCCGCATCTGTAGACGGGACGTCAGGTCACTTCATCGAAGGGCCGGCATGGAAGTCGGCAGTAATCTATTTGGACATTGAATTAGACGTGTGTGAGCGTGTGGACAAAGCTGCTCACGGCTTCTGAAGCGCAGCAGACGCGAGAGGTTTGCCTCCGAGGCTCAGTCCCTCTGGACCTTTTCGGATCCACGTCTGAGGGAGTGGGGGGTTCGTGCAGCGTTTCCATCGGTCTCAAGCAGGTGTGTGGTGACATGCGATAAACCACAGGCACCTGAGCCTGCTGCCTCCCTCGGCCCACCCTGTCTCGTGGCGGCTCCTCTTTCCTCCCAAACAGGCGTGGGCCAGGTGTCGTCGGGCAGCTTCTTAGGGGCTCATAAGTCATAAAAACTGAGAACGGTGTTGTCAAGGCAGACCAGTGAGGGCAGTGCCCCCCGCCCCCCGCCCTGTTTTCCACTGAGTCTTGGCTCACGGAGCATTTGCTGCGGCTTTCCCACAGGGACGAGGCCCCCGCTGGGGTTCTACAGCTCCTGGGGGTGGTGTCCACATGCCAAGTCTGCTCACCGCTGGGGTCCGTGAAGGGACAGTGTGTCCCGCCCAGCAGCTCTTAGCAGTGGACCCTGGAGAACACGTTCAGGGTTTCAGGCCAAGGTTAGGCTCAGACTGGTCACCCACGGGCTCCGCTGCACAGACACTGTGTCCTGCGCCCGGTGCCTCAGAGTCGCCCCGCCCGGTCTTTTCACCCCACCTCGGTGGGCAGTCCGAGGCGTTACCGCCACTCTAGACTCGAACGCTGTGAACGTCTGCTGTTCCACGTGCCACTTGACGCAGGAAATTCCAGCTGCACAGGCGTTGGTGCAGCTGTCACGCGAGCCCGCAGGGCGTCCAGGGGGGCTCTGGTTTCAGGCCGGGGGACAGTGAGGACAGGCGTGCAGTGACGGCACCGCTGGTGACCTGCTGGTGCCCACGCCTGCAACCCCGTCGGTGGGCCCGGCAGGTCCAAGCACGTCGCAGATGGAGCTGGGTGCTCCGTGCCGGGCCTGAGCGTCGGCCCCCAGTGGTGCCGGGTGGCGTGTCGCACACACTCTAATCCTTTGGGTGCAGTGTTTCCACTGAGAACTTATTACACCTGGTGCACAGGTAAGACAGCACGTTCCCCTGAGGACCTGCGGCGCCTGGCGGCCTCTTACGTGTGTCCCTGTTTCTCTCCGACAGATGTGGCCTTCATCACAACCGTGACCTTCGTGTGGAAGGTGTCGGCCGTCACGGTGCTCAGCTGCCTTCCGCTCTACGTCGTCAAGTACCTGAAGCGCAAGCTGTCCCCTCCCAGCTACTCCAAGCTGATGTCCTAGGCGCCCGGTCTCCTGCTCGTGGGGTGTCCCCAGTGGCGCACGGGGGTGGTGGCCACAGGAGGCGGGGGAGGCCCAGAGCCCAGAGCCCCGGGCTGGCACTGCAGCGCCCCTGCAGGGCGCGCCCCTTCTCTCCTGTAACTTTGTATCCCACCAGCCCGTTTTTACTGAAAATGAGCCCGAATCGTGTCGCTGTCGCACACCCGCCCTACTCTGGTTTCTGAGAGTTTAAATGAAAGCTGATTTACTACTCCGCAGCTCCCTGACACTCCGACGCTCGCTTCGATGTCGTAACAGCCGCTCCCGCGCAGCTAGAAGAACATCCGGGGCTGCGAACGCGCCGTGTGTGCGCTCGCGCCAAGGCTCCCCCGGGACCGATGCCCGTCACCGTCAGCGGCTCGCTGCCGGCAGCCCGTTCATGTGCCACCTCCTCCGGCGACACGGGCACGTCCG